TAAATGTGGTAAATTGGGTAAAATAGTTTTTTAAATGTGATATACAAAATAGAAAATTATGTACTAAATAAATTGAAAAAAACTAACAGGGAGAACAGAGGAGAAAAAATTAATGTAAAGATGGGTAAGAAAGTAAGATGCTGAAATTGTTAAAACCACCCAGGAAAAGCGTAAAATGATTAGGAGTGATAAACTAGGCAGCTCCTAATAACCACTACTGTGTGCAGTGATAGTGATAATTGCTAGTGCATTATCTGTACGTGTTGTAGAACTGTGTGCTCTGTAGTCTCCATGTTGCTAGAAGGAAGGTGTATTGTTTTTTTTATTTGAAAATGTTTATTAGGTCATGCAGGCGAGTTCTTTATACAACAGGTTAGTGAACTTCTTCTTCATACAATGTATAAGAGTAATAGTGCAGCATTGCATAACTGCGTGTCACACAATGGGTAAATTCGTATACATTCTCATGCTGCACGGACCAATTGCATTTCAATTAATTAACTAGAGAAAAAAGAGAAGAAGCAAGAAAGAAGAAACAAGTGAGTTGAAGTGTAGGATGAGAGGATCAATTGTGCTGCTAAAGCTGCAGAAGGGGGATTGAGAAGGTGATGGGGGGGGGGAGAGAGGAGGACGAAGGTGTTTAGTTCTTGGGACGATTCCGCCTATTCCAGGGTGTTCCCTGTATCTACCAATTCCTGAGCTATCCCGATTTATTAGCGGTTAAACTGCGTTCTTCCTCAATTTTTTTTTTTCATTGGTTATTTAGCACCCTGTCTTGGGTGTACGTGTCCCACATAATTTTTGCTTTTGCAAATATAGGTTTAGGTCCAAATTGGTGTTGGTGCATGGCTTCATATGTCCAATCAAGTGTAATTTGATTAGTAGGTGTGTGCGATCTGGCGGTTTCTTTGATTTCCAGTGTTGTGCCTTAAGAAGGTATGCTGAGGTGAGAATGTAGTAGGTAATTGCTAGGTGGGTTTTGGGTAGTCTTTCGGGTAACATAAACAAAAGTTATACTTCTGGTTTGAAGGCTATTGGGGAATGAAGTATGTCCGATAGGAGTTTTCCTACCTTGATCCAGAAAGGTCTAATAGTGGAGCACGTCCACCAGATGTGGAGCATTGACCCCACCTCTTATTCACAGCGCCAACATATATTTGTAGAGTTTGGCCATATCTTGTGTATCCTCTCCGGTACCAAGTACCAGCGGTATAGTATTTTGGATTTCTAAGTGTTGAGCACAGGAGGTTAAACCTTTATGTATCATAAATGCTCTTTTCCATTGAGTTGGGCTAAGCTTGCCTCCTATGTCTCTGCTCCATGCCTCTTTGTATGATACGTGTGGTGGTGTTTGGCTGTGTAATAGCATGTAATAGCACTGTGAAAGGGTTTTCTGAGTGGGCTTTCATGACATGCATGCCTTTTCAAACTCCGAAACAGTGTATTTAGCAGCCTGTATGGACATTGTAAGTAAGGTTTTTGCTAGAAGCGATTTTACCTGGAGGTAAGGGAATAGGAATCTGGCGGGTAGATCATATTGCTCTTTTAGGTTTGGGAATGTTTTTAGGCATTCATCCTGGTATAGGCGGAGAACATGTGTGAAGCCTCTGTCTATGCATGGTTTGTGGTGAAATGTGGGGATTGTTATGCTAATGGCTTGCAGTTGGGTTGCCATTGGTACATTTGGGTAACTAGTCATTGTCCTTCTCCCCCCATCCCACATGTTTTTTAAGCAACCGAATGGTAGGCAGGCAGTCAGATATGTCTAGTCTACGTTTATGGTCAGTCCAGAATATAGGGTGCGGCATATCCATTTTTAGCCAGTACGCTTCAATTTCGGTCCATTGGGAGCACGGGGGGCACCGTGTAGAGTAAGCATTGTGCTCAGGAGCGCTGCTTTGTGGTAGTTGTATAAGTTCGGTATGCCTAGTCCTCCTTCAACTACCGGCCTGTATAAGATCTTAGTGGCCACCCTAATCCTTTTGTTTTGCCAAACGAACTTCAGAAATAGGTTCGTGAGTGATCGTTGGTAAGTGGTAGGCAAGGAAATCTGTAGTGAAAGGGGGTAAGGGTTGCTCATAGAGCTAGTAGTCTATAACAATGAAAAACAGACCAAATGGTCTAAATAGAGATAAAACAACAAGTGGGCCTAGGTAAAAAATGGTAAAATGTCTCGCTAAGACAACAGATAAAAAAGGGTGAGATCCTCAGGAGTTGATCCGTCCAGATGGTTAAAATATCCATATATGTGAAGAGACAAAGGGAAAACACAACAAACAGCTGATAGTGTGATATAGTCTAGATCCAATAGTAAAAACGGATAAAAAGCAGATAATAAACTCACATTTATGAGAGCTCTAACCAGCTCTGGAGTGAAGGGCGATTAGCGGTATAATCCCCGCTAGAGGATACAGTGGAAAGGTGCGTCCGTCAATTTCGGTCTGATTTTTTTCAGTGTTCCGGGATATATGAAAACAGCAATTGTGCTCTCAATATGTATATATTGAGTAATACAATATATATATAAAATATACTCACAAACATAGAGCAGAAGATACTGCTCTATTTTCACAGCGTTGGTGGAATAATCCCCACCTCGGATTGCTTGAGCACAGGATACAGTAAAAATGCATGGGAGAGTAAAAATAAAAAGTGCATATAAAATACAATAAAAAGACAATTGGTACAGAAAAAGAGTAACCCAAAAACTTTTATTGTTAAAATTGTGGCATGCTCATTTCTCAACCTCATTTCTTGTGCCTCCACATAGGCATAGGTTAGGGCCGAGGGGAGGGGGGATAGTGCAGTTAGAAGTAGAGAAGAGAGAGAGATTGCGGTAAGGACCACCATGCCCAGGGTGGGCTGAGTACCGAGAATTGGTACTGTAGAGGCTGGCAGTTGTAAACAAACTAACATAACAACGTGGGCAACTAGCCCAATAAAGTTTTTAGTGGTTAACAGTAATCTGTACCAAACTGCGTAGCTAGCATGTTACAATACTGAAGCTCTTGCAACTGAAAATATAAGAGCTACACGCATAACTGTCACTAGTAAGAGTCCTATTTGTCTGTGTTTTCATTGTTTAAGTAACGTCTTGTGCTCTGTGACCTAGTGTGATCTTGAGTTGCTTTATGTAAAATGCAGTGTAGTGGAGGCTGGTGGTTAGGCAAGGGTTACTCAGTATGCCCCTTGCCTTAACATCTGTGAGCAGGGCCGGACTGGCCCACCGGGATACTGGTAAATTTCCCGGTGGGCCATCGGCACCTGGGGCCGGGCAGACACCTAGGTCTGCTGGAGGCCACTGGGGAGGTCGTCTGGCGGCCGCTGGGGGACTTGTACTGGCGGCCGCTGGGGGAGCTGCGCTGGCTCTGCTCCCCAGCGCGCAGCTGAATGAGACCGGCGCCGGAATATGATGTCATATTCTGGCGCCGGTCTCATTCAGCAGCGCGCGAGGGCAGGAGAGCAGAGCAAGCACAGCTCCCCCAGCGGCCGCCAGTACAAGTCCCCCAGCGGCTGCCAGAAGACCTCCACAGCGGCCTCCAGTACAAGTCCCCCAGCGTCCGCCAGAAGACCTCCCCAGTGGCCTCCAGTACAAGTCCCCCATCGGCCTCCAGAAGACCTCCCCCTGGCAGGTATTAGTAATGTGTCAGTATGAGTTTGTCTGTCTGTTATGGTGTGTGTGTCTCTCTGTCTGTCTGTGTCATGGTGTCTGTATGGTGTGTGTCTGTCTGTATGGTGTGCGTGTGTCATGGTGTCTGTCTGTATGGAGTGTGTGTGTCATGGTGTCTGTCAATATGGTGTGTGTCTGTCTGTGTCATGGTGTCTGTATGGTGTGTGTGTGTGTTTCATGGTGTCTGTCTGTATGGTGTGTGTCTGTCTGTCTGTGTCATGGTGTGTGTGTCTGTCCGTCATGGGGTGTGTGTGTGTGTGTCTTGGTATATGTGTGTTTCTGTGTCTGTCATGGTGTATGTGTGTGTTTAAAAATAGTGTTTTTGCTCACCTTTTTTTTCCCCACATAGCGTGCTGGTCTCCCCTAGACTGGCCCTTCCTCTATAGCTGAGATCATCAAGCTTGATGATCTCAGCCGATCCAATGCTTTGCCATAGGATTGACTGCAAAACACCACTCCAATCAGCATCTCCTCATAGAGATGCTTTGAATCAATGTATCTCTATGGGGAACGTTCAGCACCTACAGACTGTGGAGGCCCTGAATGTAGGTGCACTAAAACAGGAAGCACCTCTAGTGACCGTCTGAGTGACTGTCACTAGCAGTGTCACTTTGAAGCAATGTAAACACTGCCTTTTCTCTGAAAAGTCAGTGTTTACGTTGAAAAGCCTGTAGGGACATGCTATAGACACCAGTACCACTACATTAAGCTGTGTGTGTGCGTCTGCTAGTGAGAGTGAGTGAGTGAGTGCTAGTGAGTGAGCTTGCTTGCATGCGTGTGCCTGCTAGTGAGTGAGCATGTGTTTTTATGTCAATGAGCTGATGTATATCAGTGAGATTGTTTGTCTATGAGGCTGTGTATCAATGAGCGTGTGTGTGTCATATATATATTACTCAATCATCTGTCATGGCAAGACATAGCCTTACATATTACACGCGACAATATATGGCGCAGTGACTTATAGGGCTGGCACAAATTCTTTTTCCAGGGCTGCTTTGTATCCCCAGTCCGGCCCTGTCTGTGAGGTGGTCTTGTGGTTTTGGGCTCATCCACCCTCTGTTTGTCGCTGCTCCTTTTCGTCTGGTCCCTGTGAGTGAGTCTACCCCTGCTGAGTTAGCAATCGTTTTCCTCCTGCATTATTTTCCCCACAACTGATTCCAGCCAATCAGCAGCAGACCCTCCCTCCCAGATCCTCCCACCTCCTGGACAGCTCACTAAGAATGCAGCTTCACAATGAATGTAAAATGGATGCTGTCCAGGAGGTGGGAGGGTCTGGGAGGGAAGGTCTGCTGCTGATTGGCTGGAATGTGTCTGCTGACTGTGAGGTACAGGGTCAAAGTTTACTCAATGATGAGTCCGTGGCGAACCGTTCGTGGCGAACTGTTCGCGAACCGTTTGGCAAACCGTTCGGGACATCACTAACCCTGACAAATGGCTACCACATGCAAGGAAGGCAGGAGGTGCACAAATGACCCACTCCCAACGTGGGGAGGTAGTGACGACAAATAACAATACAGGACTCTTTAGAGGCCCTGTAATTGCAATGAGTCCACTTGAAATCCTTTAACTCTGATCAATTGGAGGGCAAGTCTGGTGCAGAGCGACTGACCCGTGTGTGCTGCAGCTGAAACTCCACTATCGCCTGCTGTTGCTTGCACAGTCTCATGAGGCGGTGAGAGGGAAGGCCGAAGTTACTTGGCAGCGCAGACAGGCGAGCAGCAGCAGGGTGAGAACGCTGAAAGCACGCACAGCCGCTACAGTGAATGTCACATCCTGTTCCAAGTTGCGGATCAGTTTGGTGATGGCTTCTGGTATCCAGTACTCTTTTTACTGAAGCTGCATCAGGGTCCTGGTATGTGGCCGCACAAACGCTGGTGCTCAACACCAGGGGGCGTGCAGTTACCCTGCACCAGACCCTGCTAATCCATTCCACACTGTGATGCCTAACTTCAGCATCAGGCATACTGGGTCCCGGTTGTCCGACCGCCGCCCAGACAGTGACTGGGTCCCAGTCACCGGATTGCGAAACTGCGAATGGCTCGTTAAATCTGTTATGGTTCCTTTTTTCACTCCATCTGTTACTTGAATAAGTGTGGGAATTCTAAAGATAATACATGCCGACGAGCGCTAGGGGACGGCCGCTCCGCTTTTGCACCCTACTCCCTCTGATGCCTCTACTGCCTGTGTGTGACCAGCGCCTCTTCCTCCAAACTGCACACATCACTCACATGACCTTGATTCCATGTGGGGTCTAGGACTTCATCATCCTCCACATCATCTTCCACCCACTCCTCAACCCTGCCCTCCTTGCCGGTCTGCACACTGCTGAAAGCCACAGCAGTTGGCACCTGTGTTTTTCCAGCATGTAAAGTCTGCAAAGGATATATGGAAATTGTTTTAGAATTGTATCCAGGCAACAGTTTTCCCTATAAACTGACCACTCAGTTTGACTTGTGAGGGTATTGCCCCCCCCGAATTACAATAATGTTATATTGGTATTTGACGCTTCTATTTGACTCTCAGATTTGAAGAGCAGGCCCCAGAATGTACTATTTATCAGTTTAGCAGCAAAACAATTAGAATGTTTACAACTGCGCTGTAAACGCACTATTAGACGCTTCTATTTGACTCTCAGATATGAAGAGCAGGCCCCAAAATGTACTATTTAGCAGCAAAACAATTAGAATGTTCACAACTGTGCTGTAAGCGCACTATAAGATGCTTCTTTTTGACTCTCAGATATGAAGAGCAGGCCCAAAATGTACTATTTAGCAGATTAGCACACAGAAAATAAGAATTTTTACAACTGCGCTGTAAGCGCACTATTAGACGCTTCGATTTGACTCTCAGATATGAAGAGCAGGCCCCAAAATGTACTATTTAGTAGATTAGTAGCAAAACAATTAGAATGTTTACAACTGCGCTGTAAATGCACTATTAGACGCTTCTATTTGACTCTCAGATATGAAGAGCAGGCCCCAAAATGTACTATTTAGCAGATTAGCACCCAGAAAATAAGAATTTTTACAACTGCGCTGTAAGTGCACTATTAGACGCTTCTATTTGACTCTCAGATATAAAGAGCACGCCCAAAATGTACTATTTAGAAGCTTAGCAACCAGAAAATAAGAATTTTTACAACTGCGCTGTAACCTCACTGTTAGACGCTTCCATTTGACTCTCAGATATGAAGAGCAGGCCGCAAAATTTACTATTTAGCAGTTTAGCACCCAAAAAATTAGACTGTTTACAACTGCGCTGTAAACACACTATTAGACGCTTCTATTTGACTCTCAGATATGAAGAGCAGGCCCCAAAATGTACTATTTAGCAGATTAGCACCCAGAAAATAAGAATTTTTACAACTGCGCTGTAAGTGCACTATTAGACGCTTCGATTTGACTCTCAGATATGAAGAGCAGGCCCCAAAATGTACTATTTAGTAGATTAGTAGCAAAACAATTAGAATGTTTACAACTGCGCTGTAAATGCACTATTAGACGCTTCTATTTGACTCTCAGATATGAAGAGCAGGCCCCAAAATGTACTATTTAGCAGATTAGCACCCAGAAAATAAGAATTTTTACAACTGCGCTGTAAGTGCACTATTAGACGCTTCTATTTGACTCTCAGATATGAAGAGCAGGCCCCAAAATGTACTATTTAGCAGTTTAGCAGCAAAACAGTTAGAATGTTTACAACTGCGCTGTAGGCGTACTATTAGATGCTTCTATTTGACTTTCAGATATGAAGAGCAAGCCCAAAATGTACTATTTAGCAGTTTAGCACCCAGAAAATAAGAAATTTTACAACTGCGCTGTAAGCGCACTATTAGACGTTTCTTTTTGACTCTCAGATATGAAGAGCAGGCCGCAAAATTTACTATTTAGCAGTTTAGCACCCAAAAAATTAGACTGTTTACAACTGCGCTGTAAACACACTATTAGACGCTTCTATTTGACTCTCACATATGAAGAGCAGGCCCCAAAATGTACTATTTAGTAGATTAGCTGCAAAACAATTAGAATGTTTACAACTGCGCTGTAAGCGCACTATTTGACGCTTCGATTTGACTCTCAGATATGAAGAGCAGGCCCCAAAATGTACTATTTAGTAGATTAGTAGCAAAACAATTAGAATGTTTACAACTGCGCTGTAAATGCACTATTAGACGCTTCTATTTGACTCTCAGATATGAAGAGCAGGCCCCAAAATGTACTATTTAGCAGATTAGCACCCAGAAAATAAGAATTTTTACAACTGCGCTGTAAGTGCACTATTAGATGCTTCTATTTGACTCTCAGATATGAAGAGCAGGCCCCAAAATGTACTATTTAGCAGTTTAGCAGCAAAACAGTTAGAATGTTTACAACTGCGCTGTAAGCGCACTATTAGGCGCTTCTATTTGACTCTTAGATATGAAGAGCAAGCCCAAAATTTACTATTTAGCAGTTTAGCACCAAAACAATTAGAATTTTTACATACTGCGCTGTAGGCGTACTATTAGATGCTTCTATTTGACTCTCAGATATGAAGAGCAAGCCCAAAATGTACTATTTAGCAGTTTAGCACCCAGAAAATAAGAAATTTTACAACTGCGCTGTAAGCGCACTATTAGACGTTTCTTTTTGACTCTCAGATATGAAGAGCACGCCCAAAATGTACTATTTTGCAGTTTAGCACCCAGAAAATTAGAATGTTTACAACTGCGCTGTAAGCGCACTATTAGACGCTTCTATTTGACTCTCACATATGAAGAGCAGGCCCCAAAATGTACTATTTAGTAGATTAGCTGCAAAACAATTAGAATGTTTACAACTGCGCTGTAAGCGCACTATTTGACGCTTCTATTTGTCTCTCACATATAAAGTGCACCCCACTAATGTACTTTTTAGCACCCCAAAAAATTTAAGTTTTAAAACTGCAATGTGACAGCAGTATTTGATGCTTCTATTTAACTCTCAGATATGAAGTGCACCCCACTAATGTACTATTTAGCACCCAAAAAAATTACTTTTTAAAACTCAGATGTAACCGCAGTATTTGACGCTTCTATTTGACTCTCAAATATGAAGTGCACCCCACTAATGTACTAGTTTGCAGAATTCTTTCCTAATCTGTCCCTGAAAGCGGCAGCATACTCTCCCTACACTAATAAGACCTTATGTGGGTGCGGCGCTACGCGACTCCAACTTATATATAGAGGCTGGGTCACATGCTGCACTGGCCAATCACAGCCATGCCATTAGTAGGCATGGCTGTGATGGCTTCTAAGGGCACACGAGTCAAACGCACCGAACTCCAACCCGAACATACAGTGATATGTCCGTGTTCGGGTCCGGTGTCCAAAAAACTTAATGTTCGGTACGAACCCGCACTTTACAGTCCGGGTTCGCTCAACTCTACACCTAACTCCTTAACTAAAACAAAAACATGAATTCGCACTGAGTTACCTAAAGCAAAAATGACATACATTGAAAGTGGGTTTTCAAGTTAAAACTGGATACAGATAGAAATGTAATCTGTTATGAAGATAGACTAGTATTAAAAGGATTTAATCTACACAATAGTATGGAGAAGACCATTGCACCTGTAGTCAAGTTAAGCACAATCAGAACAATACTACTGCAAAATCCATACAGTTTCCTGCAGAGCAGTCAGATGTAAAGCTTTCTTAAATGGTAAAATAGATGAAAAAAATTTACATAATAGAACAAATAGAAGAATTTGAAACAAAAACATTTGAATTTAAAACAAATAAAGGTTAGTAAGAAAGTTACAGATAGGAATATATGGACCTAAACAAGCTGCAAGAGCATGAAATGAGAAGCTGTTTGAAATGCAGTACAAAACTTAATTCAGAGTAAACCAGACCTATGTCTATTTACCAGACAAAGAAATGGAAAGTTGACTTATTTGCTAGTTAAGGTAGATGACATGATCTTGTACAGGGAAAGACCACAGGATTGTACAGAGATTGTTATACAATTGAACAAAGAAGTAGATGCCAAATGATTTCTAAACAGCCTTTTATCTTGGCATGCAAGTAGAAAAAGATGCTGACAGGAGTTTAAACTAAAAGCGAGTTAATATGACTTAAAAGTAGGCAGATAATGTAATAGAGCAGCAGGAGATGCTAGCAGAATGATTGGTTGTGTAGGGAGAGGTATTAGCAGTAGAAAGAGGGAAGTTCTCATGTCATTGTACAGAACACTGGTGAGACCTCCCTTGGAGTATTGTACACAGTACTGGAGACTGTATCTCCAGAAGGATATTGATACTTTAGAGACAGTTTAGAGAATATCTGCTAAACTGGTTCACGGATTACAGGATAAAGGAGGGACAAAGGTCTAAAAATAATACTTAGAGGGTAGTGGATGCCTGGAATAGCTTTTCCAGCTGAAGTGGATTTTTCTCCTGCATGTATGCATGTGTAACGGAGCTCCCTGTACCCCTGGCTGGGTACTTCTGCCAAGAACCGCTTCCTAGCTGGAACAGTGGACAAACCTCAGCACTTCTGCCCACAGTTGCCATGGCTTGACTGGGGTCCTGGAACCGCTCCCTCCTGGAGCCGAATGGGGATCTCACTCTATCCACCCCCAGCAGAGCCGGATTAAGAGCACAGTGGGCTTGGTGC